AAGCCATAGGCTTTTTATTGTTTATTAGTGTCGTCTTCATGACTCCTCACGATCTTTTCCACTACTGATATTAACAAGAGACTTTTTTTATTGTGTCCTGTTTCGTAGAAACAACCGGTTCATCTTCATGGTATGTGTTTTGGAGCTGTTAGGGCCCCTCTTCTGCTTATGTAGGCCCTCTAAGATCCTGCATTTCTAGGAAGCCATAGGCTTTTTATTGTTTATTAGTGTCGTCTTCATGACTCCTCACGATCTTTTCCACTACTGATATTAACAAGAGACTTTTTTTATTGTGTCCTGTTTCGTAGAAACAACCGGTTCATCTTCATGGTATGTGTTTTGGAGCTGTTAGGGCCCCTCTTCTGCTTATGTACTCTGTTTCGATAGAAACAACCAGTTCATCTTCATGGTATGTGTTTTGGAGGCTGTTAGGGCCCCTCTTCTGCTTATGTACTTTACTCTGTTTCTGTAATTCCTAAGAAGTCTCTGTCTATTTGTGAATGCAGTCAAAATATAAGAGCATAAAGCAGTCTAGTATTGGTTTTACTTACCAAAGTTTTTGCTAAGTTATCCTAAAACTTGCAGCTTCCTAAACTTTTTACAGTTGAGGAAAAACATATTCTTAACTAATAATTTGCTTGGTTTTACTTACCAAAGTCTTTGCTAAGTTATCCTAAAACTTGCAGCTTGTGTGCTGTAACCTAGTGCTGAGCCCATCATTTCCCAGCTTCTGTAGGGTGAAGAAGCTATAGGTTCAGGCTTCCTCAGCCAAAATAACAGAAAATGGAGAAACCTGTGCTTGATTAACACTCCTCATTAATAGCCAAGGAAACACTAAATTACTGCAACAGAGATTTCTGCTTTATAATTCCAATGTGAGAGGGGAAAGTATGAGATAGCCTGATCAATTAAGTGGACTGAAGGTAATTATGGCTGGATACCACTCATGAACATAACCTTTATATCCTGCAGCATCAACAGCTTCCCGCTGCTCTTATAAGCTCTTGTCTATAGAGTTCAATTTCACCGTTGTGTGTCATTTTGAAGTCTCATTGGTGTTTGAATTTCTGTTTCCATGTATTGACATGCTCTGCAACTAAAAAGGATTCTAAACCACAATAACTTCACTCGTCTTTTCCAGCATCTCCTTCAAATGCTGTTGTCTACCCCATATTCAGTGCACCCCCCACCAGCAAGAAAAGGTAGGCTAATCTTTGCTAAGTCCTTCCAAGAATGATCAGAAGTGTCATATCTGCAGAATCATTACTTTTTAAAAAAATGATACTAATTCTAAAAACAATAGCTTAGCTTTCTCCCAATCCTTGTAAGGTTTGGGAGTCTGGGGGTTTTATTGGGTTGGCTTTTTTTTTTTTTCTTTTAAAGGGAAGATGAAAGATGGAGGTTGTGTTGGTTTAGGGGGATACTAGCCTGTGAATAAGGAAATACACGCTTGCTTACTGTCTCTAGTACATTTTACTTGTGAATTTGTACGTATTATTGAGCTGATTATTTTTTTAACTAAAAAGGAAATAATAGTTTTCTTTTAGCTGTTGCTAAGATAAAATCATTAGAGCAAGGGGGGCTGTTTCAGGATATATTCATCACTGAGAATGGCCCAGCCTTGGTGGTGTTTGAGCCATGTAGAGGGGGTTTTATTTATTTATACTACTTCTGTGTGTCCTCTCTCTCTGTACCTGGAGCGTCCATAATGAGCAGTAACTTTCAGTCTTTATGTTCTGGCTGTTCGTCAGGGACCTGCACCTCTCATGAGCCAGAGAGCCTCGTCAGCACTAACTGTGAGTTTGAGTTGGTGCCGGAGTTGTCAAAACGACTTGTCTTTACTCAGTTTGGCAAGTGCAGAGGCACAGTATAACGTTGCTGGCCGTACAATGCGCAGGCAGGCATTGCTGTCCCTCACTAGAATCTAATAAATGGTATGGCTTTCTGTATATACCTTTTAGTCTGCAGTGTAGACAACAAACATAATGCATGCCCATGAGTTTTAGTCCGCCTACATCACCAGCCGGTATGGCAGCGATGCCTCTGGTGTGGGCAGTCTTGCCACGATGGAAGCGATTCTGTGTGGCAAGCAACCTTTTGAGTTAAGTTTGTGTACATCAGCTACAGCGTGTGAAAATTCGACTCTGTGTTTAACCAGGCCAGTTAAACTGCGGGTCCCTTGTTGTTTCCAGCTGGAAAGGCTGACGGGGCAGGTCGGTAACTCTGCTCAGGCCAGTCTGTGGCTCTTGCGGGAATTGGCAGCCTCTCTGTCTCTGTCACACTTGACCCCTTGTAAAGTACCAGTTAAGCCTACAGTATTAATTTTTAAACTGTTGAAATGACTCACTTCTTGGGAAGGCACTGGCTTATTAAAGTTGTACGGAGCTAAAGATTCAAAAAGGCTTGTTTACCTGCCTTGTGCTGGTGTTACAGAATACCCATGTTCTTTAAATGTAGCGTCAAACTGATCTCTCTCTGCCGTCAGGTTCATTGCTTTTCCATAGTAACTCTTCCTGTGATGTGCTTTTGTAACTATCGCAGTGCTGTGGCTAACACTGGCCAACGTTAGCACTCTGGGAAGTATCTGAGTGCGATACAGAAATCATTTGAAATGCAAAGATCAGTAACCGCACTGGTCAGGTGTGTTTTGCGTTGCTTGTTTTTAACCTGAGAAATTTTAGTGCAGCAGCACTAGGTAGCAGCATGCTCAGAAGTTTTGCCTTTTGATGTAGGTGCTGCAGACAAGACAAAGTTCTAATAAAAAGGGGTGAAAAAGAATTACCAGAAGCACCTGCTTCTCCTCCACTTTCCCGTGCTCACCTGAGTGGGTATTTTGTAAGTCTGTTGGGTGATATTTGATATTTAGTGTGATGGAAATAAAGCACAAGCACATGAAGCTTCCTTTTTGATTCTGTAAAAAGCATGATATTGCTAAATTACTTGCAGGCACTGGGGCTCTTTAATTGTAGGATGTAATTGTACTACCTGTGCTTCTGATTAGCTTATTTCTTCAATTAATTTGCTGCTGTACTTGTAGACCTCTAGTGGAAGAAGACTTGTTTTCCCACGCAATAACCAGAGCTACTAATCCCTCTCCCATATTGAATCAACTTCTTGATACATTTTGTTAACAATAAAAACATTCTTAGCCGAGTTTGTCGTGACCATAAAAAAAAAAAAACACTTAAAGTTGCTCCTAAAAGAGCCAAAATAAACCTTCCAAGACTTGTCGCGCTACTGTAGTCCCCTGCCACAGAAGTGTTGAAAGAGAGATCTGATTGCAGTATTTGCTTTGCTTCCTCATGTGGCTTTTCAAATACCTTCCGTGGTGCAAGTGGAACCCTGGGATGTGTGGAAATCCTGGTGTTTGTGATTAACTGAAAATCAGTCTTGGATTTGCAGTTGTCTCTTGGGAAGCTGATGAGCACAAGCTTTTCCTACATGAAGTCTCTGCTTTGGAAAGTCTTCTTAGTATCCAAATCTATAAAATTGTTTGGTGTATCTCTAAATTATTTCCATGTTAAGGTTCACTGCACAATAGTTACAATTTCCCACTTTAAGATTGCTTGAGAAATGCCACCTTACAGACAGAAGTCTAAAGGTAGGTTAGAAAAACTGCAATTATTAACACCCCTAGCAATGTGCTTCCCTGTAGCTGAAGCCCACGTTGTGAAGTTAAAAATTCATATAAAGCCTCCATGTCTGGATCCGAATATGAAGAATTCCTCTTGGCCTTGCTTCAGTCTGCTCCCCTCTTTGGGAAGCTGTCCCCGCTAGACGGCCTGCTAGAAGCCCAGCACCAAGGGCTTTTCCCGAGATGCTGCCGATCCCCTGGTCTGAAGGTGGTGTTGGTGTGAGGGGCTGGGACTTGTGGTGGTGAAGCAGCAACTGAGTGGGGAAGCAGTCTTGGGACCCCGGGGGTAGACAGAATGTGGGCTTGAGACCAAGCTATGGTGGGTCTTGGCCAAAACCTTGTCCCAAGTTCCTGTACACCTTGATCAAAACCTAGGTGAAATGCTTCCTAGGTTATTGGAGTTCAATTTTTCACTTTCTTCCTTTTTTTTTTCCCCTTGAGGGGAGAGTGGTGCTGATGTGGTGTGCACTTTATAGTCAGCTTTCCTCGCAAAACGGGAACACTTAAAGCTTTGTAAGATGATTTCAGGTGATGCTACTTCCCTTGCTGAGTCTGGCAGGGTAGGACCCTTATCCTTGCCTCATATCACACTGTCCAGAAGTCCCTGAGCTGCTGGGACCAAGCGGTGGTACTGTGGCTTGCAGTGTGGTCACGCAGCGAGGCACGTGCTCCCTCTGCTAGCTGTGCTGACGTTCCCAGGTATCCATAGCCACATCTCCCTGTGTTCATCTCCCGGAGCTGTTTGATCCGCTGGGGACTTCACAAACCCTCAGGGCTCCTCAACCCATGGGAAGGTAGACATGTTTTAGGTGTGCAATCACAGTTATAATTTTATGCACGAGCTAGGAGCATGTCTGTGGGACTGTTTAGGGGAGACTTTGAGTTTTTTGGATCCCAGTTAGACTCAGGTGCAAGATTGCCAGAGCTGAGCAGCTTGCTGCCGCAAAACTCTGAGCCTGCGTGGGCGTGTTTTGGATGTCTAGATGCACGTAAGCAGCAGTTTGTGGAGGGAGCTGCTGGACTTGGGCACCTATTTCTTCACCCGCAGTTCCCATACTTCACAGACCTGGCCCTCTGCTTCTCAGTTTGTTGTGTGTCCCTTTGACTGTTGAAGGAGCTGCTGAATTTCCAATATCCTGGAAATACAATGGCTGTGGAAGTGGGAGAAGTGCTTAATCAAGAGTTATTTAACTTCTGATGCAATTGTAGCTCTTCCTAGAGCCCCTCTCCTTCCCTCCCTCCCCCAGAGGAGCTGGTACCACAGCTGTCACAAGCTTTGCTGTACTTGGCTTAGTTTGGGGTGTTTGTAATAAGAGTCACTACCCTGCCCTGGTATCCGACATGTAATGTTAACTTTTGTTTGCAGTGACTAATTTTCATCTCTCTGAAATGATTTTCAGGACGCAGGCCCCACTGGATGAACTGACTTCTCCGTTTGGGTCCAGCCCACCTGCAAAAACATCTCACACCTCGCAGAAAAGCAAGAAGGCGAAAGAGCTCTGCAAGCGCTCCGGAGATCAGATGATCATTGTAAGGTTCCCCTCGGGGCATGCTGGGTGACTTGGTGGTGAGGAAACAAGAAATACGTCCTGAGGCTAACCGATCAGTAGATTTCCTTACGTGTAAACCTCAAACCAACCACACTGCAATGACCGTAACAGGGCAGTGATTAACATATTTAGCACTAGACTAGGACAGGGTAGTAGCTAGGAAATAGGTTGTTACGGTTTCCCTGGGACTAGCGCTTTATTATGTTTTAGAATTCAAAAGAGATTTATGGAACATAATATTTAAAAAAAAAACAAAAGGAAGCTCAGCCAAGCCTGTATGGATGCTATAGGAGTGAATTTGGCTGGATAATTTTCCTTTCCCACGGCTTCCTGGCCCGCTGCGCGAGCAGAGTCAGCACAGCACTGCAACCACAGCGGCAAACAGCCAGGGACGCCCGGGGGCAGCCAGGTCGGCACGGGAGCAGGAAGGCGCGACCGAGAGCTGAGCCCGAACGGAGCTCGCTCTATTAACAAGCGGGTGCCTCTTTGGTAGCTCCACGTCTGCCTTCCTGCTGTTGCTCTTCAGTGTGGAGTACTGATTTTGGAGCAGGAGGAGGCCGAACGGTGTTACTGAGGCTTGTGTGTCACGTAGCGATCACGTGTATGCGTTTCCAGAAAATACGCCCTTAGCGATGAGTAATTTTTTAGTAAACCGTTTGTTCTCACTTGGTGACATGCAGATGTTTTCAAGGCTGTTCCCTCAGGAAGCACGGCTTATGTGATCATTCTTGTCTGCTGATTTGCCCTTTCTAGCACCTTTTGAGTCATTTGGATGATTTCTGTCAAATTTGAGACCTCACAGATACAAATTTTTGAGTGTTTTGAAAACTGGTCCCCCTGGAAGGGAGAAACCCAGATGAGTGCCTGCGCTGAGAGGAAAGCAGCGGCGTGCACTCAGCAGTCATCGCTGCCCTGAGCGCGGCCGGCTGGCGAGCCGCGAGCTCCAACCCTGCCTGGCACAGCTCGGCTGCGTGTCTAACTGCTGGGCCCACGAGGGACGGACTGTGGGTGCTGTGACATGGGGGGAAGCCCAAACGGGGACGTGGGGAAGGGAAAGCAGCTGCTGCAGTAGCACCCAGTACAGGGAAATAAGATGAGTCTTTAACAAACTAGGCTTGACTTCCCCTCGCTACTTAGAGAGCAATCTGCTGTTTGCTTGCACAACTGGCATTCGGTTCCCTCTCTTCCCCTCCCTGTGTACTGACAGAGATAAAAATGAGGTTATTTTTAGATAACTGATGAAAAGACTATACAGAGTTTTCCTTTGTTTTTTTTGTGGTGCTCTTTCACATTGTTTCCTCAGTGAGGATGCTGCTGATCTATTTCAAGGCTCATTCCAAATAATGTATTCATTGCGTTCCCTGGATAATTTAATACCGTGTACTTCTAAATACTCTGCAAATAAGCAAAAGCTTGTCCTCCTCTTCAGAAATTCAAATGAAAATGAATACTTCCATCTTTGATGATTGTTACTAGAACCAATTCTTAACCTCATTCCTTAAATTGAATGTGGTTTTGAACAGCTTCAGAGCACTTAGCTGGCTCTGTTTCTCACTAGGATGCCGGTCAGAAGCATTTTGGTGCTGTAGTTTGCAAGTCGTGCGGCATGATCTACACGGCTGCCAGCCCGGAGGATGAAGCCCAGCACATCCAGCACCACGAGAGGTTCCTCGAAGGACTCAGATACGTGGTAAGGCGATGGCTGTGCTCGTAGCTCAGCTGAAGAAGAGGGGGGGGAAGCGGTGTGCGATATCCAGGTACAGAGTCGAGACAGCTGCAGGCAGATGTTTTGTCATCCAGAGGGGAGGTTAAAGTGTAAATTAGGCAGTTCCAGCAACTGTCTGCCTTCATCAGTTTGGTGAGTGTGACTTGATTTTATTCCTGAAAGCTGAAGTGGTTCAGATTACAGCTTCATCTGCCAGAGTCTTCACTGAATCACTTCCTCTCTCTTGCTAAACCACTAACTTGTTTGTTTGGGTTTTTCCCCCCCACCCTTCTGTGGCAGGGTTGGAAGAAAGAACGGGTTGTGGCAGAGTTCTGGGATGGGAAAATCGTACTGATTCTTCCAAATGACCCAAAATATGCCGTCAAGAAGGTACATGTTTGTTTATTCTGGGGTTTATATTGTAGATTAGCTTTCTGCTGGCTCAGCTCCCAGAACTACCTCAGTGCATGATCGTACATCACTTGCCAGCGCACGGGGCAAACAGGAGAGCTGAGTGGGGTTGTTGCAGCAATCCGGGTTGCTGTGGACGCCCACCCTGATACATCCTAACCCTGCTCCCCGCGCTGAAGCTCTTGTTCTTAAATGACCAACATAACCCGATCCTTTCCATCCCAAGGATGGGGGTGAGAGGCAGGTGCACTCTGCAAGACGTGTAGAGGGATAAAGGCATGAGTCGGAGCCTGTTCTTTAATGTTCTCTACACAGAGCCTGATCTTGTGTAAGCACAGGCTTATTTGGGGGAACGAGTCCCCTTTCTGACAGCTTTCACACCAAAGAATGCACGTCTTAGTTCCTAACACACCTTTCCGTTTTTTTCTTAGGCAGAAGATGTGCGAGAAATTGTAGATAATGAATTGGGATTTAAGCAAGTTTCTTTGAGCTGCCCAGCCAAGACTAAAATGTACATGTTTGTGTCCAACGAGAAGATGATTGTTGGCTGCTTAGTGGCTGAGTCAATCAAGCAGGTACGTGTTATTAATTTTATAGGGAGGAGGTGAAGTTGCAGGCTAATAACTGGGGCTCTTCGCGTAAGCCTGTGTATTGGAAATCCTGGCTTAGCACAAGAGGGGGGAAAATAAAACTAAGGAAATAAAAAACAAACAAAAAACCCACCCAAAAAACCAGCAAACGAAAGAAACTGAGGAAAAGCTTGTGCTTTTGTCAGGGTGAGATGTTGCTGGCAGGAGTTAGCTGAGTTTGCGCAGCTGATACTGCGGCGAGCTTCCCTCTGACCCTGGTTTGGGTGCGGGTTTCTGTGGTGGTCTGCCCTGTAAGAGACAGCAGAAGGCAAGGCTGGGAGCACGGGAAGGTCCGTGGCTCTGCATCCCGTCGGGAAGGAGCAGTTGGATGCCTCTTCTCATCCCTGCAGGCTTTCCGGGTGCTGTCTGAGCCAGGAGCTGTGCCGTCCCCTGGCCGGGATGCCCTGCAGCACCACCGGGCTTGGCGCTGCTCCACCGAGCCGGAGCCCGCCGTCTGCGGCGTCAGCAGGATCTGGGTGTTCGGCCTGAGGCGCGGGAAGGGCATCGCCCGTCGCATGGTGGACGTGGTCAGGTAGGGAGCGGCCGGAGGGCAGCGGGGAGCTGGGATCCCAGCTGGGGTTTATTCCTGGGGGGAGAAACAATGATGGCAGCAAAAAGTGTTTAGAAGGAACTTATGAAAGGGATAAATTTGTAGCACTAAGCAAGTCTGAAATCCCTGCTTCATAGTGGAAGGATATCAAGTGGACAGATATTCTGAGTATATCTAATATTTACGTAATATTTTTATTTAAAATATGATACAAGTGTGGGCCAAGATGCTAACTGCTGGGTATAACACACAGCTACACAGACTGGATTTTCCAAGAGAAACTATGCTTGTTGGGGAAAAAATATTGTTTTGTTTTGTTTTTTTTCTTTTTTTTGACTGGACAAGTTGATGGGGCCCAAACACTTGAGTTTTCCAGGCAGGAAATTCTGAGCTTTTCAAGCTCGGACCAAACTGGGAGGAAGACTTAAAATCTTCCCCTCGTCTGTTAATATGGACTGCCTTGAGGGGGAGCTTGGTGGTCCATCAGCCTGTAGTAGCATGTCTCTTGTGTCATACCTGCTCGCTGTATGTGTATCAAATACAGACATATAAAGTATATGAGTACATATGTATATATTTTTATAGATTTGTAATCATATGTGATTGTATCTGGAGCTCAGTATTCTGAAAATTCATCAGCCAGTGCTCAGTCTCTACTCCCTCCTGTGGTTAGCGTTTGATGTGCTACCTCCGTGACGCCTTCCAAACCCACGGGCTGCGCGAGCCAGCTGGAGCTGGGTGACCCGTGGGTGCCCACGGGAGTCCTGGCACTGCCGTGGTGGACATCACTCGGGAACTGCTCCAAGATATTTAACTGAAACCTCTGGGTTTCCATGTAAAACCGTATTTGGGGGGTTTATGCCATATTCGGTCTTACATTATCCTTCTTGCTAATTTTAAAATGCTTCTTGATTACGCCAAAATCCAAGAGGGCAAACTAGCGTCTCGCAACGATCTTCTCTGGTTTGAAAGCAAAGCGACAGAAGAAATAACAGCGGGGGGGGAAACCCCCCTGTGGTGTGTTTTAGGAGTGGGATAAAGCAGCCGGCTGGTCGCGGCGCGCTGATAGCTCTGCTCCCTCTTTCAGGAGCACCTTCATGTACGGCTGCTACCTGAGTACCGACGAAATCGCCTTCTCCGACCCGACGCCGGATGGCAAGTTGTTTGCAACGAAATACTGCCAAACCCCTAACTTCCTTGTTTACAATTTTATTTATAACAACTGATTTTGACTTGATTATTACAAGTTGAGGTTTGTTTAAATCATCTAAAATAATTTGATGTTTTAATTGACACTTAAGCATTGTTACCTGGCTAAACGCTGTTTTCCTACCTCCCCTTGTGAGCAAGCTGGGGGAGAATGTGTCACTTTGTGTACAGAGTTGTGTTATGTTTTAGTGTATGCTGTGGAACCTTGCTTGGATTTCAGGTAGGTTTGTTTCTTCTGAAACTAAATTTTATTGCAAGTAACTTAATTTCTTTAAAAGGTGTAATTAATATAAAGATGGCTGTTTTCTCCCTGATGGGTGGGTATGTAATTCTGAGCTCTCTCCAGCGTGTGCGCTGTAGAAGGCAGGGCAGAAGCCTTAGCACAAGCAGTTGCTAAATTTATGCAGAGTATGAGGTGTCTTAAAACGACTGACTCGTGGCAGGATTTCCCCCAGAGCGTAAGGCCTGGAACCCTCACGGTGTTGTGCTGCAGGGGAAGCTGTCGCGGGGGTTGCCTGCTTAATAAAACGTGTGAAATGCTGCTGCTCGAGCTTGTTTCTGTACGCAGAAGAGATGTGGGAACGCTTCCAAGGCTCTCCTAATTTGGGGAGTTCACAGGAGAAGGCAGCAGAGGCTAAAACAGAAGCTGAGAGCTGTGTTGCAACCTCTTCATCTCCAGGCAGCTGAGGGCAGGAATTTCCCTAACCAGCAGGATTTTCTTTAATAAATCCCCCAGAGACTGTTTTTTTTATACCATGTTACACAGAATCATGCCAACCTGTTGTGTCAGGAAACCTTTTCCTTGAGCTTGCAGCTGCTCTCCCTGGGTAATGTTCTCCTGTTACCTAGGGGCCTCCTCAGGAACACAAATACTTTACACAAGAGCCCTCATCAAAGCTTGGTGACAGGGCAGGGACACACACACACTCCTTAGGAAAAGAAAAGCACCGCTTTTACACCGAGATTAAGAAAAAAAAAAATTTTTTAATTCAACACAAACATCGAGGGAAGGGTTTTAAAGCAGCTGTAACATGACAACTAAATGCACAACTATTGCACAGAGCAAGTAGCTTATTTAGGATTTAAATGCAGGTGGGAAGGGATTGCTCTAGGAGCAACACAGAGCAATCTCCTCAAACACCAGGGGTTAGTGCTTCACAAGTTTAGGCTGTGGTTTTAAGTACACAGAGCAGGTTTCACATACTAGAAGGATAAATGCTGCAGGAGTAGCCTTACTCTTCTAAGTTCAATCCCTGAGCTCCCGCACCCGTGGCGCAGACCTCAGGGACAGCTTTGCTGTCCCCGAGCTCCATGGCACAGGCGCTCAAGTGCTTTTACTGCTGAGACAGACTTGCCTCCAAGGCTTCAACGATGCACGCGGCCGAGGGACGCTTCTTGGGGTCCTCGCTGGTGCAGACAGAAAAGAGGTCGATCACACACTGGTAGGATGGGCCCAGTTCCTCCATGTTGAGGGCCGGGCGGGTTCCCAGGGCTGCGTAATATGCTTCCTCGTCAAAGGAGTCTTCATCAAAAGACTCATCTGAACAAGAAGGTGGAAAAGGTGTTGGGAAGGGTGCTGGAAACTGCTCCGCTCCCTTGGATTGTGGGGCTTGGCTGCACCTCATCCATCACAGAATGGTTTGGGTGGGAAGGGACCTTCAAAGGCCATCTAGCCCAACCCCCTGCCGTGGACAGGGACATCTTCAACTAGATCAGGTTGCTCAGAGCCCCGTCCAACCTGACCTTGAACGTTCCCAGGGATGGGGCATCCACCACCTCTCTGGGCAACCTGGGCCAGGGTTTCACCACCCTCAGCATACAACATTTCTTCCTTCTATCTAGTCTGAATCTCCCCGCTTTTAGTTTAAAACCATTCCCCCTTGTCCTGTTGACCACATCATTTTGGTGTTATCTTAGCAGCATCCACCACACAGCTACAGCCTCGCAGATTGCTCCTACACTGCATAAGTGTGGGACGGAGCCGGAGCGTGGCCGAGCACGCTGCGGGGCTCTCGGGGGAGCAGCTGTCAGGCTCAGGGACATCTTTCAAACCTATCGAACCGCGCTGATGGGAATCTGACGAGCAGCTGGATTTTGAGAAGCTCTCTCCAGCTGTTAAGCAGCTGGAGCACTTACAGAGAGCACTGGTTCACAATGATTAGTTACCATCATTTATCAACTTCTCATTTGGAGTTAAAAAGCCAAATGAAGTTGAAAGCAGCCCAGCCCTGAAGGATGCTGACAGGCACCCGCTGCAGAGCGGCCTCGGGGTGGTGCTGAGCATCTCCGTGCTGCAGCGAACTCCCCAGTGAACTCCCTGTGAAGAGAGGCAGGGCTGGGAGATGCAGCAGGCGCAGCCAGATGCTTGCAAGCCCTTCGGATGGCATCCGAGGGAGACCCAGCATTGTGGGGGTACTAAAACAGGCTGTAAAAATCAATCCTACTGAGCGAGGAAAGCATTTCTAGGAGCAGAAGTTGCTCGCCAGCAAGGTACAGAAACAAACCTTCGTCATCAGGGTCATCGCCCAGGTTGAGGTGGGGCACGGAGAGGGTCATCATTTCCCAGAGAGTCAGCCCAAAAGCGAAGATGTCGGCTTTGTCGGTGATCACGCCGTCATCCTGCAGAGCCTCCTTGGGCTTCCAGGGCTCGGTGCCGACGTAGTACATGTCCGGGTCGCTCACTGGAAGGAAACAACATGGCTCGGGTGTCTGCTGGGACTTGCAACTTGCTCCGCAGCACAGCACGGATTTAGTCTGTCAGTTAGCTCAGGCGTGCTAAAGCCACAGAGCGGGATCTTCTGGGGGCCTGAACCTATTTTTCTTTCACATCCGTGTATCTCAAATCCCCTGTAACCTGCGACTTGCTCCGCAGCAGTGCCAGTCTCAGCGGGGCTCGTGCTTCTCTTCCGCAGGCCCAGCAATGCATGTTAGGGACTGCGGAGAAACCTCCTTGAGGAGATTTCACAGTGGAGTGTCTGAGGCCACGCAGAGTGTGGAGAGAAGAACTGAAGGTCAGAGCTGTGCTCTGTAGCTTAACTGTGCAATGGAGAAGTGAGAAATTACCTGCATTTTACCCAGGTGCTTCCCTTCCTCAGCTTGGCCCCCCTGGGGAGGCAGGACCAGGGTGACAGCACTCACAGGGCACCTTCCCCAGGGGACAAAGCCAGCCCAACCCCAGTGCTCACGAGGCTCCATCCGCTGCCGCCACCTCCTGCCAGCCACAGTCCTTCTGTTTTCTCTACTCCAGTCCAAACCAAGTTCTCACCACTTTGTTCAATTTAATGCCTCCTTGATCTTAATTAGCCTTGGGAGAGTTGAAGCGATCAGCTCTCAGCCTGATAAAGGAAACACCAGCTCTGACTCGATCCCTTATATCCCTCTCCCGATTACAGGCACCGCTCCCAAGAGGAGGGTGCATTTCCCCCCACTCTCCCTAGCAAATTCCCGAGCTGGCAGCAAATCTCAGCTGTTCAAAAAACTTTTCTCTTGCAGGGCTGATCTTCAAAGCCTGGCCTGTAACGAGAAGGGAACACCAAAATCCCTCAACACTTCAAGGCTTCTGAGGGCTATTGCGCTTTAATCCTTGGCTACCACATGGACGGGGACCCAGCCTCCTCACCGTCAGTGGGTGCCTGTTGTCTCCTCGAGACTACGAGGAGGCAAAGCCAAAATCAGGGCTGGGCGGAGAGGACTTCTTCCTGTTCAACCAGCCCAGAAACTTATACTTAACCACACTCCTCTCCAGGAGATTACGCTGGGGCGCTGCCTCCAGCTCTCTCGCTCCTTATAAAAGGGAACAGCTACTAATAAAAATGTAATAGAGCAGCTTTATAAATTATGAGGCTGTTGCAGGCCCAAGCGCTGCGTAAAGCAGCAGAGAAAAGCATTCTTGTAATTAACCCAAACACATTCCTGCACACATCCCTGCTGTTCACAGCAAAGCCACGACGCCATTAGACATCTGCTTCTCATTTACATGAAGCCTTTATAACGCTTGCATTTGGCTCGTGCTTCCTTCTAGCCCTACAAGAAAGATTCGTTTACTTAACTCTCTGGCAAGAGCATCTCCTCAACAGCAGGACCTGATCCAGCATCCCGTGTACAACGGCACTCCTGCCCACGGGAGCGAATGTACGAGTGTGGAAGGGCACGAGACAGACGTCACAGGTCTGGAGAATTCAAGCTGGACCTTCCAGAGATGTCCTTCACCCAGGCACGGTGCAAACCACGAGCTAGTCCTTCCCTCTGAGGACACGGGGGGGCTCCCGGAGCCAAACTCTGGCAGCCATCAAGCATCCCCCTTCCTGGCTGCCCGACCTACCGGTCATGTTCTCATCCAGGGGCAGGGACATTCCCACATCACAGATCTTGACGGCTTCAAAGGCACCTTTAACGACCACGTTTGAAGACTTGATATCTCCGTGGAGCAGCTTCTTATCGTTGTGAAGGTACTAAGAGGCAGAGAGGAGCCGTTAACACCCGCTTACAGATACAGCCATGGAGAGGCAGGAGGAGCCATCAGATTTGGACAACTCCAACTTCTTAATGTTTAATGTATTTAGCCTTAAAACCTCGAGGACTGGCCAACACCTATCTGTAACACGTACAAAACACAGGGCAGGTTGTTCCACCCAGCCCAGTTTTGGAGGCTTTTGGTGGCCTTTCAGTGAAAGACTGCGAGAAGCGCCTCTAGCAACAAGCACTTGAGAGCGCGTGCGAAGCGTGGGCATTAGCCGATGGCTAAGCACACATCCGCGTTATCCCGGGAGCTCAGAGCTGCACCTCCTCGGCAGCAACAGTGCAGGACTCACTGCCACGGCCGGGGCAGCCTGTGCTTCACCCTGACCGCTGGCATAGCCGGGGGGAGGCTCAGAAGCCATGCTGCGGTTTAGACAGAGCACTGCTGAGTCTCCATTTCCCCCCTTTTTCCCCCTAAACGCAACCTCAGCGCAGCGGCTGCTGCAGCTTGATGAGAGGAGGCACGAGCAGCACCAGCTGGCAGCCATGGGCACCAGCTAACCATTTTCACTGCCAAGAGCAGCTTCTGGCACGGCAATAAGGATGCAGGAGCCAGCAGCCAGCCTCCTCACCGGCTAGCAAGCAGGGACAGCAGGTAGCCCCAGGGGAGGGCAGCAGGACACTCGTGACAAAAACCCTGTCGCATCTCTTTTTATATTACTTCAATCTCAAGCTTCAGGGCTCAGTTTTCACCTGAGCCTGTGCAGCACCCCAGCAAAAAAAAAACCACCAAGGCCTTATATGAAGCATCACAGCGTCTGCTCTCCATCTGCCAGCGTGGCCTTCTCACACATCAAATTCATTTATTTTTCCAGTGTCACCGGTGTATACGATTCCACACAGAACAGCTACGGTTAACGTTAAACATACCTTCAACCCCCTCGCCATGCTCAAGGCAACTTTGAAAATCGTGGCAGCAGGGAAAGGGCCCAACCGTTTTGCATTTCTTTCTTCAATTAAGTCACCAAGAGATTTTTCTCCTCCGTACTCCATGGCCAGACACATGCTTCCATCATTGGCCTCGGTAAACGCACGGTAACCTTCCAACAAAGATTGATTTGTTAGAGAGCCAAAGCAGGCAGCAGCATTTCCGCGTGCTTGCCGGCCCGATGGAGCCAGAGCATTTGGGGCTGCTACCCAGGTGCTTTCCCAGCGGCTGCAACCAGCCCCAAACAAATTCACACCCCGGAGGGCCCTGGCTCGCAGCGTTACGCCGCGAGGTGAAGCCACAGGAATGTCTGTGGAGACCTGCGCGGCCTCGAGCAGGGGCGCGAGCCCCAGCTGTGTCGAGGTAAAGGAGCTCCCTCCTGCAGGAGAGCCCACAGACACCCCCTCGTTGCTTCCCAGGTCACCTATGCACCCTCTGCCAGGGCAGGGAGGTTTACCCCGATCTTTGCAGGACAGAGAACCAGGAGAAAGGAGGGAGGAGAGCAGCAGCAGATCTGCAGGACCGACATCTCCAGTTGCAAAGATAAGGAGCCGCAGGAGCGAGACAAAGAGCAGAGGGACATTTGGGAAAGCCAAGCCCTCATCTCACAAGGGCCACTCCACAAGGTTAAGACAGTCCAGATACGGACTGTCATGTAATCTTTCTTCCTCCACGTTTTACTCCTATCTGTAGACAATACCCTTCAGGGGGAGTTATAAATGGCAAAGTCTTGCATAACGGCATAGCAAAAGTCTTATCCTGTAAATGATTTATGGCACCTTTTACAAAAAAGCAGTGAAATGTTTGCAGTGTGAAAGGTCGAGACTATCTTTGCTCTTAAATTCCTGCCAGAAGCAAGACATGCCATTTTAGGGATACAAAGAAAGTTCCTTGCATGCAGCATTTCTAATACAAGCGACCACACCGAAATAGTTTAAAGCACAAATAAAAGGAAAGTCAAACAAAGCTGCTGTCCTGACTGGCAGGAGAGATTTTAGACAAGATAAGAGCAGAAATTAAACAGACTAAAGCAGCTTCTCAAAATATTCCTACCACTGAGAGCCAAGAGCCTGACAGAGCCTCAATTGTCACTCATAAAGGTGTGTCATCAGGGTGGGATCCAGAGTCTTATTCCCTACAACTAAAGTATTGCCTGTCCTCTGCATTGTTACGGTGGTCTCTCCCTTCCCCAAGGCCATAAGCTGGGGCTGGCCCGCAGCACGAAGCCCTCAGCGAGGCACCTCTCGGCTCCTGGGGGCACCCCCAGCACACCAGCCGCTTGGGAGTCCCACCGTAACTGTTTCTGTCGGGTAACTCACCCAGAAAGCCACCTCTCAGCGACCGACGTCGATATCAACAGGCAACGAAGCACCAAGGGGTGTCTTCTGCCACCAACCGTGCTGCCCCAGCAGTCCAGGAGCACTTCCAAGTCCCCACCACGCAGGGTAAGACTAAATTAATTTAATAAGGACCGTGGTGGGCCTGACCAAAGGCGCAGGCAGCCCAGCAACCTGTCTCCGAAGCGTAAGGACGGGGCAAGCACGCAGTGATCCTCCCCCCACACGTCCTCCCAGCCATCACACCCCGGGGCTCCAGACTTCCAGAGCCGGACGGGGAGGTCTGTAACCCACAGCCCGCGGTGCGAAAGGAGCCCAGAGCCGGGGAGGGCAGAGAAACCCAGCAGCAGCCTCGTGTCCCATCAGCTGGCTCCAGAGTCGGCTCCAACAGCTTGATTTGCAATTTAAGCGACATAGGTTGTGCCAGGAACTTACCCACGATGTTTGGGTGCTGGAGGTTTTTCAAGATCTTGGCTTCTTCGTTCAGTCTCTGCTGATAGATGCTTTGCTGGCTCCTGTTGCATTTGGAATCAATTTTCTTCACAGCCCAAGGGGAGCGAGACAAACCTCTGGGAGATCTGCATGGGAAAACCCATACGTCTCAGAACCACTCTGTTTGTAAGCAGCACCACGGTTAAAGCTCACGCAGCTCACTGAGGAGCTATTCTGGAGAGCGTCTGCCTTTATTTTGTGGAATTAATAAAGAACAATGCTAAAATAAACTAAAGTTTGCTAACGTGCACGCCGCAGAAGTGCACAGTAATGCTTCGCCCATATACAGTGCTCCTCCATCGAATTTTCAAGTGTTTTAGAAATGGAGATTGTATCGATTCTCATTTTCAGGTGGAGGAGCTGAGGCCTGGGGAGGGAAGCAGCTTGCCCAGCAGGCCAAAGCAGAGCCAGAAACGGACCCCAGATGCCTGAATTCCAGGCCAGGGAATGGCTGATGGGGTTATCCCAAAACGACGGGCTCCTTCCCAGCACTGATACCTCCAGCACACATGGGAAAGCTGGAAGTCCCACAGCCCTTCCTCGACTCCGTGCCCATTTGAAGGGGTGCAGGCAGCATCTGAAGGTCGGTGATGGCAGCGCTTTCTTGCTCAGAGCTCAATCACTTTCCATCCCCTATATTATTCTAGGGGAAGACGCCAAGCCCTGTTCCCGAGCTCCGCGTCACGCCTGTGCTCTCACACGTACCTTTTCATCAAGTAGACTTTGACACCGGTGCCGTACCCAAGCTTCTGCATGAAGGGAGAGGCTGGGATAGTGACAGAAACTGGCCCCCCATCTAAAAAGAAAAGAGAAACCCAGCCCCACGAGTGACCCCATACAGCAGATCAAACAGCAAGCGGCAGCTTCACAGCTTCTCACTAGGAGCTGTGATGCTCCCATTACAAATGACATTTGTGACTCCACCACGAGTTCAGATTTTAGAAAAGCTCCTTTCCAGCCCTCATCCCCCAATCTCTTACCAAAACACCAGTCCCACCGAGTGGTCACTACCATCCTCGTTAGGTTTCTCACCCAGGAAAACTGTGTACGAAGTGTTGTGCAACATTTTATGTTCAAGCCTGATCTTTGGCGCAGGTTTTTGGTCCTATCTACATTCCGGGCTAAGCAACTGTACTGGGTTTGGCTGGGATAGAGTTCATTTTCTTCATAAGCAGCTTCATGCTGGTTTTGGCTGGGATAGAGTTAATTTTCTCCATAGTACAGGGCTGTGTTTTGGATTTGTGCTGGAAACGGTGTTGATAACGCAGGGATATTTTCGTTACTGCTGAGCAGTGCTTACACAGAGTCAAGGCCTTTTCTGCTTCTCACCCCACACCACCAGCGAGCAGGCTGGGGGGGCACAAGGAGCTGAGAGGTGACACAGCCGGGACAGCTGACCCCAACTGACCAAAGGGATATTCCATACCATATGGCGTCATGCTCAGCATATAGAGCTGGGGGAAGAAGAAGGAAGGGGGGACGTTTGGAGTGATGGCGTTTGTCTTCCCAAGTAACCGTTACGCGTGATGGAGCCCTGCTTTCCTGGGGATGGCTGAACACCTGCCTGCCGATGGGAAGTAGTGAATGGAATTCCTTGTTTTGCTTTGCTTGTGCGCGGCTTTTGCTTTCCCTATTGAACTGTCTTTATCTCAACCCATGAGTTTTCTCCCCCATCCCACAGGGGAACGAGCGAGCGGCTGGGTGGGGCTGAGCCGCCCACTGGGGTTCACCCATGACACCCACCCTGACAGGGCGGTTGAACACCCGCCCCCTCCCCACAGCACAGCACAGAGCCCACGGCAAAGCGCTCGGTTTCCCCGCCAGCCCCTCTGGAAATATTTAGGGCTCACGCCTGAATGTGACTCACCGGGTTTCTCCCTTTGGGCCAGGTTGTTTTGAGACTTGAAGGCTTCCATCGCTGCAAACCGTCCTGATCCCTATAGCAGAGGAGAGACTGACTTTATTACACCTCCACCCCCCAAAATGCTGGAGGGAACCACGCAGAAGGACCCGGGAGCATGAGCTGTGCAGGGCTCAAGCCCTAACCCAAGCAGGGGCGTTAAAGATACATTAAAGGACATAAATTACACAAATTACATCCGTTGGGAGTTCCCAACTGCTAATTTGGCTTCTCCCAGCTCTGCTCAGTGCCCAGCTCCGTGGGCTCCCTCCTTCCCCAGTGTCACCCTGCAGCTTGTCACCGCTATGTCCCCCATGGGGCTGATCACCCCGGGGCCGCTCACAGAGGGGGAACGAACCCTGTAACAGGTCTGGGGGTGGCTCTGAAGTCAGGCAAGAGGTGGAACCGGTGTCCTAAGGGAACTGGCAGGTGATGTGCCACCAAGGGAAGGAGCTGGTCGCGGGGAGACCCAGGACAGGGTCCCCCCAGCCCTCAGCACAGCCAGCACCACGGCAGGGGGGGACTGAGGGCCCCACCTCTGGGGGGAGGGGGGATCCCAGGTTTGGGGGAGACAGGAGAGGACTGCTGGGTGCCATCTCTGGGGGTAAAGGGGGG